GCATAAATATTCTAGTGCTTAAAATAAATACAAATAAAACATCTTAAAATTTTTTTGAGCAAAGAACCAAGAAGGAAATACATTTTCAATTTTGGACTAGGGGCGACTCTAGTCAAAATCAATTTTGTCACTTTTTTCTTCGAGGGTTTATACAAATGGATTGAAACTTTGCGTAAATATTAAAGTTCATTAAAACAAATACAAATAAAACATTCTAAAATTTTTTAAAGCAAAGAACCAAGAAGGAAATACATTTTCAATTTTGGACTAGGGGCGACCCTAGTCAAAATCAATTTTGTCACTTTTTTCTTCGAAGGGTTATACAAATGGATTGAAACTTTGCATAAATATTCTAGTGCTTAAAACAAATACAAATAAAACATTCTAAAATTTTTTAAAGCAAAGAACCAAGAAGGAAATATATTTTCAATTTTGGACTAGGGGCGACCCTAGTCAAAATCAATTTTGTCACTTTTTTCTTCGAAGGTTTATCCAAATGGATTGAAACTTTGCATAAATATTTTAGTGCTTAAAACAAATACAAATAAAACACTCGGAAATTTTTTGGAGCAAAGAACCAAGAAGGAAATACATTTTCAATTTTGGACTAGGGGCGACCCTTAAAACAAATACAAATAAAACATCCTAAATTATTTTGAGCAAAGAACCAAGGAGGAAATACATTTTCAATTTTGGACTGGGGGCGACCCTAGTCAAAATCAATTTTGTCACTTTTTTCTTCGAAGGTTTATCCAAATGGATTGAAACTTTGCATAAATATTTTAGTGCTTAAAACAAATACAAATAAAACATTCGGAAATTTTTTGGAGCAAAGAACCAAGAAGGAAATACATTTTCAATCTTGGACTAGGGGCGACCCTAGTCAAAATCAATTTTGTCACTTTTTTCTTCGAGGGTTTATTCAAATGGATTGAAACTTTGCATAAATATTTTAGTGTTTAAAACAAATACAAATAAAACATCTTAAAATTTTTTTGAGCAAAGAACCAAGAAGGAAATACATTTTCATTTTTGGACTAGGGGCGACCCTAGTCAAAATCAATTTTGTCACTTTTTTCTTCGAGGGTTTATTCAAATGGATTGAAACTTTGCATAAATATTCTAGTGCTTAAAACAAATACAAATAAAACATCCTAAATTATTTTGAGCAAAGAACCAAGGAGGAAATACATTTTCAATTTTGGACTGGGGGCGACCCTAGTCAAAATCAATTTTGTCACTTTTTTCTTCGAAGGTTTATCCAAATGGATTGAAACTTTGCATAAATATTTTAGTGCTTAAAACAAATACAAATAAAACATTCGGAAATTTTTTGGAGCAAAGAACCAAGAAGGAAATACATTTTCATTTTTGGACTAGGGGCGACCCTAGTCAAAATCAATTTTGTCACTTTTTTCTTCGAGGGTTTATTCAAATGGATTGAAACTTTGCATAAATATTCTAGTGCTTAAAACAAATACAAATAAAACATTCTGAAATTTTTTTGAGCAAAGAACCAAGAAGGAAATACATTTTCAATTATGAACTTGGGACAGGTCCAGTCAAAATCTAGTTTTTCACTTTTTTTTCCCGATTAGGGTCGCCCCTAGTCCAAAATTGAAAATACTATTTTCTTCTTGGTTCTTTGCTCCAAAAAATTTCAGAATGTTTTATTTGTATTTGTTTTAAGCACTAAAATATTTATGCAAAGTTTCAATCCATTTGAATAAACCCTCGAAGAAAAAAGTGACAAAATTGATTTTGACTAGGGTCGCCCCTAGTCTAAAATTGAAAATTTATTTCCTACTTGGTTCTTTGCTCAAAAAAATTTTTTTCATCCAAAGTTTAATTTAAAAAAAATCACAGTGGACTTTTAATTTGAAAAATTCGTAAGAAAGGAAAGTTTTTTGCTTTTTCTGAAGCAACGGCTGTTCCTACCTTGCCTAAAAACAATGCAGCTCTTCTATAGAGCAGTACGGATCAAATGTAAAAAACTAGAAGTCTCTGCGATGTCTCGTTAATGAGATTTCTTGCTGATTAACTTGCTTGCTTGTTTGCTTACAGAAAGCGTATTTTGCGATTTTCTCAGCAATGCCGCAACCAATTTGAAATCTGTTTTTTGCAAAAGATGTGAAATTCCAGGCATGAACTTTTTATCTCTGAACATTTTAAGCTATCTTGCTCCATATCCTCACAAAATTCAAAAAACTGATTTTTCAATCTGAACAAAACCAATAGATTCACACGTGAAAACGGTGTGAATATAACAAAAACAAACAATATGAATTCTACCTTAATTGGCACTACTAACACAGTTCATATGTTGCCTTAATTTCGTTTATATCCAAACTGTATTCATTCTACTAGTAAAATAGTATTGTTTAGTGACTAGCATGATTTTACTATTCGAAAACAGAAAAAAATGAAATTAATGCTCATTCTGCTTATAAGCTTTCAACTTGTTGTGTCTATGGGATATAGAAAGGAATTAGCGCCACATACAATAGCATGATAGTCATCTGTGTCCGTATTTTATTTATATAAGACAAATTTTCGAGTCAAAATAAACGTGACAATAAGTTTATTAGATTTCACACCCATCATTGCTTTATGTCCTATACACGCTTTTAATATAGGCTTCAATCACGTCCTAAAGACATGCTAAAATCCTCATTTGAATTTAACACACCATGAATTTCTCTTTATTCCAACATAATTAAATGACCATAATTGGGTGACTGACTTGGTATTGTTGTGCAGCTGATAAGGACGTACTGTTTGTATTCCTATCTTAGTACCGTTGTTATGAAAATAAAGTTTTAATGATTTTTTTTTCTATTAAAATTGATTATATTTATAGAACCGAAGGTACGGACGTACTTTTTTCGTTTTGTGTAACTGCTAAAATTTCGTGAATGAAAATTCAAGGCTTAGTGGGGGGAAGAAAGAAAGGAACAAGTTTTTGGCTTACCTATTCAAAAATCAATAAGCGAATCATTTTTCCTGAAACTTATGCTTTACATATTTTTTATGTTCTACCTGCCTACCTTAAAAGCATTCTCCGATGCTACATAAAAATGCATACTTGAGGGAAATAATTAAGATTTATACCGATTTATATATCCGCTCTGTACCTTAAGTGATTAGTAATTGATATTGATCGATATATTTTTCAAGCTTTATATTTTTTTGGCAAGTTTACTCCTGCCTGTGCCTGCTTGCCATGTAGATGAACATAAATATTCCATAGCCATGTGAAAATTCAAATAAAAAATGTATGAGTAAGCATGCATATTCAATTCTATCATAACTTTTTATTTTCATCTCTATGCCACACTATCGACATGCACATATTGTAGCCTTTTTATTATAGCCATTTATTTTCTCTCTATAATTGAATCATTGATGTCGATTGGTGAAATTTTTGCTAGAGTGTGACGTTCAAGGAAGTGCTTTTCAAGTTCTTCTTTTTTATGCATTTATTTTGAAGGACTTTTTTATTGGGTGGATATAGTGGCTGATGTTCTTTTTTAATAGTCAATCGATGTTGTGACTGAATTTATAACAATTTTATTTGAAAACTAGGGGGCATGCAACTATGAATTTGATTTTTTAAATATTTTTCGAACGATATTTTACCACGTTTTTACCACGTTTTTTTACCACATTTTTCTTAACTTGCTTTCTTGTTACACGCTTTTTATTGATTTTTCTGTTTGTCTTGGTCAAATCTTGCGATCGATTTTTCGACCACTTCTACTGTTCCAATCGAGCTGAAATTTTGCACTTATCTTTCCGATGACAATACAATATTCAAGCATTTTGGAAATTTAAAAATGCTTAAGTTTCTTTATTTCTTTATTTCATTACAATAAGACTAAAAAGCAGAAAATAAACTACTTTATAAAAAAAAAACGTGGTAAAAAAACTTTTTAAAAAAACCACGTTTTTACCCGTGGACTAAGAAGTAGAAAATAACTTTATAATCTTAGGTTAAAAGATTTTGGTTTGAAAATTTTAGATTAATTTGAAAGTTTTATATTAGAGTCATGACCATAATAATAATAATGTGTGAAGGGCCCAGCCTTTCAGCTGGAGGCACTGCGATTCAAATTAGAACAGAATCTATTGTACCACACCCTTTAGACCTACAGTTTATAGTGGGATCCGAACCACTTGCAAGCTCTGCACATTGCAAAGACACGAGTACGTCATAAGACCTGATGTACCCTGCAATGTACCTAGTCACAATTCGTGTGCGCAAGATGCCGTAAGGAAGTCATCCAGATGCTAGTATATCCTTGTATACCTAGCATAGGAGGCATATTCTGTGCCAAAGACCTCAAAACTACACCCAACACACAAACCGAGCTTCGTAACTAGAACGGTGAAATGGAAAAAGAGCTTCGAAAATTAGACACAGAAATTTAAGCACTCAAAATTTACAATATTTATAAATGCGCCCACGTTTTAAGATGTAGAACTATACGATATGGTCGAAGTAAACAAATTTGCAATTCATGTATGGTCATGACTCTAATATAAAACTTTCAAATTAATCTAAAATTTTCAAACCAAAATCTTTTGAACCTAAGATTATAAAGTTATTTTCTACTTTTTATTTTAAATATCCTTTAAACGATAAAATCCAAAAATAGCATTAAATCGGCAATTTCTATTCTAAGCATGCAAATGCACTTTCTTCAATAACAAAAAAACTTGTGAATACTAAATTTTTATTTTTATCTCTTTGCTGTTCCTAATATAGTCAACATATGACACAAAATAGATACATTTGAACTTGGTCGTGTTCCTTTTAAGTACCCAACAGCTAGCTTATTCCTATCAAAATAAATTTAAATTTTTCATAAATGTATGTCAATGTTAATGTTTTCACATTGCAGTGCCACGAAAACATGCACATTAGAGAACTGCATAACGACTTCATTACCAGCAAAAAGTCATTTCTAATCCCATTTATGTTTATTATTTTTTTGCAGATTTAGTTCAGCCAAAAATAAATGAGCATGATGCAATTGATGTTATGCGACAATGCTTCGTGGCTGGAAATTAATTACCTTAATAGCATTAATCATCATTGTGTACATTGTAGGAATTTTAGTTTTATCGATTGCAAATCTTCAGGCTCCATCGCAGAAACGAATGAGAAACTCGAGATTTGTTACTGATGTAAGTATCATTGGACGTAATTGGCTATTCTTTGCATAAAATATTATAGGCACTTTGTGATAGATTATTGGGGAAATTTGAGAATCTCATTTTTTGAGGCACCCTGATGTTGAATTTTCACGGTTTTATTTTAATTTGGAGTTCATTAAGCCTGAAAAAGTTTGATGGATATTCGAGCTAATTGAGTAAACATTTTTAATCTCGTCTTAAATCATTCGACCAATGTTTTAATCCTGCGATTTAATCTCAAGATTTATTTGGATTTATATTAATTCTTCGGATGCCTATGAACAACAATCTTCAAATTCTGATAAAAATAGCATGTAATCACGCTATCATGAAGAAATATTGTACTCTGTCTACACGATAAGACTGTAACTCAGAATCAAGTCTAAAAATAGCTTCCTTATTGTAATCTTGACTGAATCTAATGCAGCATCATTAATTAAGATTATTTCTATCCAATCTAGTCGGATATTGGCCATAGTCCCGAAATTCTCTTACGTCGTAGTCCAATACAGCAGTTACAATGGTGTACAGAATTAAAATTTATGGATCAAAGCTCACAAAAAGCTTTAAATAGCTATCGGAAAGCATTCCATGAGAAGGCAAGAAGTGCTGATAGAATTAAACACAAATATGAACATGATTCAATTATTAGTAACAAAGAGCAGAAGACGAAGAAGAAGGAAGTTACTGACAGCTCAACAATTAGTGATAAAAACGAATTTAGCGATAACGAAAATAAAGTAATTGCATTAGCTAGCTTCCCAGGCAGTGGAAATACGTGGCTAAGGTAATAAAAACAGCATAATTATTCTGTGGTTGTTCGTCGGAAAGTGTGGTTTTTTGATCAGAACCCCCATTCTTAATATTAAGTTTTCTATTCGAAACAGGTATCTATTACAACAAGCTACAGGAATATATACAGGCAGTGTATATAAAGATTATGGTTTACTCAAAAGCGGCTTTCCTGCTGAAAGTATATCGAATTCTTCCGTACTTATCGTTAAAACCCACGAATTTGGATCGTCATCGTGGACAAGATTCCGAAAGTCTGTTTTACTTGTCCGAGATCCAGCAAAGGCGATTTTAGCTGAATTTAATCGACAAAGTGGTGGTCACATAGGATTTGCATCGCCTGATCGATACAAGAGAACTAATGGACGTTATTGGTTGAAATTTGTTACAAATAAGCTCCATGCTTGGGAACAAACGAATCTATCGTGGGCAACGAATTTTACTGGCGATGTGCTCATTATTTATTACGAAAATTTAGTTGATAATGTAGAGAAGACATTAAGGGATATTTTAAATTTTATTGAATTTCCAACTAACGAGGATTTACTAGCATGTGCTCTTAAGCGAAAAGAAGGTATTTACAGGCGAAAGAAGCGACTGCTTAACTTTGATCCATATACAATGATTATGAAGAAGATGATTGAGAAAAAGCGGATAGAAGTGTATGACATGTTGGGGAGGAACAAACTGAAATACTCGAGCCTTTAACTTTTGATCGATTGATATTGTTTCCCAAGACTTTTCTGTGTATGATGTATGCTGTATGCTTTATACTGTAAAAAGTTCAATCCGAGAATGAATCAAACTTCTTCCACACAAGACAAAAATAAAATAAAGGCATAAACAGCACAGTCAGTATTTTATATCATTTATGGAAGAGATGAATCGTTACTAGAAAATGTGATTTTTTAAATGTGTAAATTATTACTTTTTAAGGAAATAAAGGATATTAATATATAAAGAAAATTTACTACAAAAGTACGATGACTTTTTTTCTGATTTAATTCCAGTTAACATCTTTTTATTCAATTATATAGGTGCAATATTCATTATTTGGTTGAGTTAATCTTGAACAATAGGTCGTTCTACGCAAATTCATCTGTCATGAATGATTTATCGTACTTCTCGAGATGCATGGATAATTTAGTCAAACAAAGTGCCGAAATCTTGGGTACGATGGGATGCAAAGTAAACAACATAATTTTCAGAAATTCAATCATCATTTGAGTAGTAATCATTAACATTGATTAGATGTAACAAGTCATAAATTTCTTTCTGATATCCTTGCTGAATCACCTTGTTGCCAAGATATAATATGTAACGAATTAATCTATGGAACTCATCGGCATCAACTTGAATTCTATTATATTTCTCATGTGTGTAGGTCGATGATGTGTTCAACCAATTGCCAGATTTTAAATGTCTGTGAACGAGAAAAGAAGAGAAAAATAATTAGATCATGATATTTGAATAACATTCGTGCTGTTCGTAAATTACGTAACGCTTTTCGAGTTTTGCATAAATTTCAAATATTCTGTGACTGTTAATTTTTTGACAGTTATTTTTCAAATTATTTTTAACGCAAATAAATTCGAATTTTTAGCGTTACGTAACATTGGAACGACCCAGCACACGCACAGACACAAACTTACTTGTAGAATTTGAGTATGACTTTAAAAATATCTTCAATATTCTTATAAAATTCCGTATAACTCTTATTGAGCAAGCATAGGAATAAAATTCTCTTCAAGTAGTTTGCATGCTTCTTATAAATACACAAGATTGATTCTGCTGATTTTATATCTTCCATAAATGCATTCCATGATATTTGAATAACATTATGAGTTACATAGTTCTCAAGACAATTAACGAATTGTGTCATTTTATGTCGGATATACTGTACATCACGATATTGCTGAGATTTTAATATTTCCATTCCATGACTCTTGTGAGCTTCCTTTAGAATTTGAAAGCATTGCTCGAGAATCCAGGTTATTCGTTTCAATTTTATTAGGTAGTTGAAGATAGCTCGATATTTATCCATCGTCTCTGGGTTGAGTATTAAGCTTAGAGGCCATTCAAGTTGATAGCTTAAAGTCAGCATGTTCAAGATACTTGGCGAATTCATTTCAAACTTTTCAGGAATGTTTTGTACTATAAATGAGAGATATTCCGTATTTGGGTCATAGTATCGAGAATTGCTTAATGCATGATCAAGAATCATATGAAGAGATTGATAATTTAATAATTCAGCCGGTTTCATGCCATTCTCAATTTTTGAAAACATATCATGACTTATGCAGCTACAAAACTCTCCATTCATAAGCAGAAAGTAATTTCTGAGACTCTTGAAGTGCGACAATATATCTAAATCCTTAATATACATCTTTAATGTTTCATTATTTAATATTTCCATATAAGCATTAAGTGGCAATGTTAATGACATTTGCAGATATTGTGATAAAGCAATTGTATCCATTTTTGTAATTTCTGTTGATGTAGACATGTGAGCAGAAACTGAAGAGTCATTGAGCTTAATTCCCATAAATTTATTCTGATTCTGTTCGGTTGTCTTTTGTTCTATGGCCTCTATAGCCTCTTCAAATGCTCTAAACATTTCCATTTTGTCGGCATCATCATCATCTTGCTTATTCTCGGAATTATGGACTAAATCCGATAATGTTGATTTCTCGAGTGACTCATTTTGGTCACTATTGAAATGATCAGAAGTCGTTGACATTGGAGATTCTAAATTTAGTTTACTTGTGTCTGGGTTTAGAAGTTCCAACGACAATTTTTCTTTCTTTTCTTGTGGATTCCTTACTTCTTCATATCCCTCGAACCCAAATTCATGCGACATAACCTTCTGACGATTTCGTTGTAATTCTGTCAAATTATCACGTTGAACTTTATTCCTTTGTGAGTTTTCTTTCGTGTCCTTTTTGTAGCCATGCTTATCATCTAAGCCAAATTCATGTGACATGACTTTTAATCGATTCTTTTGCAAATCTGTCATTTTGTCATAATCTTGAACATTTATTTTTGGTTGTTCTGATTGTTCTTCATTCTTAATCAAATCTAATTCATATCCAAGCACCTTATTTCGATTCTTTTGAGCATCTGTTAAATTTTTTGGACTTTCATTGTTTCCATTATTGTCATCAACTTGTTTTGGATCTATTAAGTTGTACTCATGAGACATGACTTTATTCCTATTTCTCTGTGCTTCTGTTAATTCACATGCTGATTCCACAATATTATTCATCTCATCTTTAACAATTGTCATTTCCTGAGTAGCTTTATCTACTGGATTATTTGCATTTAGTGTGTCTTCAGTTTCAATTTTAATGGGGTTTAATTTTCTCGTTGTTGCTTGATCCGTTACATTTTTATTTTGGTCAATTTCATCTGATAATTTATCATTAAGTTCTTGATAAATTTTAATTCGTGCTTTTAGTTCTTCGTTTTCTCTTTGAAGCTCTTCATCCTCAATTCGATCCAATTCATCCAAATAATCACGTTCAGCTTGAATTTCTGTCATTCTTTTCAACATTTTTTTCTGTTCAATCAGTTCCAATTCTTTTCGCAATTCCTTTTGTTGTGCCTCACGAAAATCTCGAATTTCTTGTAATCGCTCTTCTTGATTCTGTTTCCATTTTAGCGCATTTTTAGTTGATGCTATTTCTGCATTCTTGTACTTTTCAACCTGTATTCTATGTTTCTCTTCTAAAAGTTCAGAAATGGATATGACTTCACCGCATTCTCGTCTTACTTTTCTTGAAAATTCTCTGCATCTATCTTTGAGCTCATTTATTTGGTCGTGAGTTAAGCAAATCTTAAATGGGGGCTTCCTGATGATGAAAAGTGGGTGCTAAATGACGAGAATAAAATAAAATGAAGAGAAATGCTAGCCCATTAAAAACGGATTATTTGAATCTGATTAAAATTGTATTTTTTTCCCCTATTTTCATAAAATTCAAAAAATATTTATCCGTTAAGTTTTAACTCACCAAAGGATTGAATGATTTCAATAGAAAGGTATATTTTCCACAAAGTAGGACATTGTCAGCACATCCAGTTAAAAATTCTGGAACGGATTGTTTTCTTATTAAGTAGGCTCGATCGAAAAAGTGTTTCGTATTTTCTTTATATCGATCGACAAAATAAATGAATAATTCCTTATAAGGATCATCAAGTTTTCCATGATACAACCATTCTTGATATCGTATGTAATAAACCTCACAGCACGCTTTCAACAAATCTACATAGAAGCATTTAACATCGGTATTTAGAGAAATTGTATATTCATTGTATAGTAAACGTAAGAAATCTGATCCACTGAGAATAGCTCTTTGAATAGTTGATGATGAAGGATGTATGTTGAGGAAAATTGATAAATGTATGATGATTTTCATAATTTTTGATGTATTATTGTAAAGATCTAAAAAGGTCTCAGCTTCTTGTGGATAAATTATATCACGACAATAATTTAAGAATTTAATGACTCGGTCGCAAAAGGCTTTAAAGATAAATCCTTCAAATATTTGACTCTGATTGAATGGGTTCTTTGCTGTATACGACTTTAATCGAGTAAAACAAGTTCCAACTTCCAAAAATTTCTCCAGCAAGTCGTTCATATCAGAAATATCACCACAACATACTCGAGTTGTCATGTAAAATTTCAATGACGTTTCTGTCCTCTTGAATGTTTCAGATTCGATTCCAAGAATTAACAGCTTTATGTCATTCATAAGTTTTGGAAACGACACAGTCGTAATTTCACTGGATGATGCATTTGAAGCTAATTTTAGTCTTTGAAATGTATAAAGACTTGTTGATTCTGTAATGAAGCTCTTAACTGATGACTCTTCATGATTTTGAAGATTTTCCCATGTATGTCGTTTCTTGTAGCTTACTGCTGACTTTTGTTGATTGTCACTTAACTCACTGATTGTGTTGCTGCTAATTACTGGCTGAAAAGGCTCAATTCTTTTCAATTTGAGATTATCGGAATTGTTATGTCCTATGTAGGAATCAAGTATGCTACTTAAGAAGGTTGTTTGTTCACTTGAACTTCTATTTCGCGCATTATTTGTGTGATCAGTTGACAAAGAAATGTGTGAAAGATATTTGTTCTTCCTTACATCCTGGAATGCTTTGGTTTGTAACTGAAGGAAGCTATGATGCTATAAAAATAAACATAAACTGTAATAAGTCACGCAAAATGAAAGTAAATGACTATTTTTACCTCACAAACTTCTTCAGAATCAATATTTTTAAGGAGAATCAAAAATGCTGAAATTGGCAATAAACTGCTTGGATTTTCTTTGAGGACATCAATATAACAATCAAGTTTATCTAGTTCCTTTTTTCTATTGTGCAACGTTAGCTCAAATCCCGTAAATTGATAGTCTTCGATTGTTTTTTCAAGCAATAAACTTTGATTAAATGACTTTTTTAACAACACTTCGAAAGCAATTTTTCTAGCTGTTTGCAGCTTAATTTCATCACATTCACTTTCCTTAATTAATTCAATGCATAACTTGTTAATTAACTGATATACACTCATTTTGTTTCTTTTAAAAATTAACAAATTTAAATTTCTTATTAAAAACAAAACTTTAGGGGAGCAACAACGCAAGTAAATTGAAAAAAAATTTGCGATTCAGTTTAAAACTATTTTATTCGTTATTTTCAAAAGCTTTTCTTCAAGTTATTTCCAGTTATTACTAATATTAAATCAAGTCTTTGTTAAGTGATGGTGTCATGATTGTTGGAAATGGTCCACCTCTGTATAAATCACCTACATATACTTCAATCTTGTTACAATTTGTAATCCAAGAATCAGATCTGCCAGGATAAAATTCCGAGTTTTGAACTGGAATTCGTTCTTTGCTGAGAATTTTAATGAGCAAATGTTTAATGTCTTTCATGCATTCCTCTTTATCATCTTCACTCAAAGTTGCTAATATGCTGTGTCCTTTTAATAGACATGACATTGAAACTCTCAAGTGATTTATATCAGCGATGTCGTCTTGGAATGTATTTTCATAATTAATTGGCAAGTAGCTGTCATGATCATAATAATATGCCTTTGAATTATTTTCATAAAATCCTAGTCCAAATTTAACTCCAATAAATTGCTTCTTTTCGGGATTTTGATAAAACACAAAATTTGGAGCAAACATTAATGCCACTAAAGTTGAAAGTCCATAAATGTTTGGTAAAGTTGTCACATTGTAAAGAGTAATTCCACGAGTAGGATTCTTCATAATATCAGCAGCAACAACTACAGTTCCATCATAATTCTCAATCTCATTGTCCAAAAGTATGCTGTTAACAGAGGTCTGGTCAATTTGAATATTTCCACGATTTTCAATTGATACTTCAGTCAAAGATGTTTCAAGAGGTGAGTAAGGACCTTCCAATCTTATGGTTCTCTTGCATCTTGACATTTGTGGCGATGGAATTGACACTTTAATTATATTGCTTTCTTTATCCTCAAATTCTTTTTCACGTGATATCCAATTCTTTGAATATTGTACATTTTCGCGTTCGTTATGATTCATTTTACTCATGTAACTTTCTTCACATTTTCTTGCATATCCTGCCTTTATCATATGCTCATTAATGCTAACTTCGTTTTTATTAGCAAACACTTCAACGGATGCAACTTCATCGACAAACGAATAAATTTTAACTTTTATCCATGCTTTTATGACTTTTTTACGAAATTCCTCAATTGCCTCAAGTGTCCATTTTCCACGCATGCATTTCGAAGATGAAGGTGCTATTTCAACCATTCTGCATTCAAAGCATCGCTCGTATATTAAGAAGTAATGAGCCATGAGTTCATTGTCCACTTCGTAGAGATCAGTAAAAGCAATCTATTGATAGAAACAAAAATATTTAAAAATTCTTAACCCTCGGATTAAACATGAGATTAAAATAAATCTTTGGATTTAGCTTTAGGATTAAAAAATATCTAGATAAAAATGTAATTCATCAAATGCTTACTTCTTTCGTATATCCATAATCAAACATGTAGCAATCTGCTGTCTTCGAATCATCATAAATCTTCATAATTTTAGCTCGCTTGTAGAATGTATCATGAAGAGCCACAACTAGTTTATCAATTTTCAGCTTCTTAGCACTAAACAGCTCTTCTTTTTCTAGCCCTTTTTCAATGTCAGCTAATATTCCTTGATTACATTCGTCAACTGGTTGGAAGTAGAACTTATTACAATGTTCAACATGAGTGATGTAGCCGATCATTTCTTTAGTATTGAATGATGGACAATAGACATGTTCAGGCATATTACACAAATATTTCTTAACCTGAAGCTTCCCATTAATATAATCCAAAATTTTAAAGTTCATTGCATATTCTCGAGTTTCATTGACAGGCATAACTTTAATTTCAAAGGATGAATTGTAGGAATTGTCATCATTGTATGAGCCTTTTGATTCCAACATTTTACTGCGAGCACCAGTCTTTCGGTATTTGACAGCGGTATAGACTTCATTACAGATTGTGCCAGGAAACAAAGCACTGCTTGTTATGTTGTTTTCACTATATTTACCATCATCAATCATTGAAAATTTGTCGGAAAATTGGACAAAAACTTTTGTGAAATCAAATGACACTTTAATGCCTTCTTTTGATTCTGCAATCTTATTTTCAATCAATTCATCTTTAATTCGCTCAGTATAAACTTGTCCAATTTGATCACGATCCATTTTACGGAAGTATACTGTTTTATTTGGATTTAAGCCATTCAATGTCTTATAGACTTCACGTTCAGTAATTTGATCGGATTTTCCTTGTATGAATAAATTTGGCATAAAAGCACCAGCCATGCACATTTTAATAATCAATGGCTTTTCCTGATTATTCCAAGTTATTGCTTTACTTCCAGTCAGAGGTTCAATATTCATTTCTTTCAATCGACTCTGGATCTTAAATATTAAAAGTCTCATTTCATGTAAATTCTTGCGATCTAATCCATACTTGTTGCACCATTTCTGTTCATCTTCATATTTTCGTAATGTACCCTTTTCACGTTCATTTTGCCAAAACTTGTAGGCATTAAGTAATGTGATTGAATCACATCCAGAACCATTACTCCAACGTGTTTTAAGGATATAATCTTCCAATTTTTTATTATATCGTGTTTGAAAGACACTTTTTATGTTCAAGCCTGCAGCAATTATTGTAATGTCATCAAGAACTGAAAACATGTACCCGAATAATATCAATTTGGTTAATTGACAATCTAATGGAAGATTTGACATGACTTTTCCGATAAATGTTAAATCACCGTCAACAGGCGTAAAGATTTCATCTTCATCTACGATTTTTAAGCCACCTAGTTCTTTTAACTTCATGACTGACTTGACAACATTCACGAAATTCGGCGGACTCATACATTTATTTAACAGTGGCATTGGTGCATCATATTCAAGTTGCTTTACACGTAGAACAACATTTTCCAACGGTGCTCGTTGCATTTCTGGAATATTCTCTTTTAATAATGTGTTGTTAAAGATTCTTTTATGGATTAATCTGTAGCAAACTCCATCGCAAGTTCGGCCAGTTCTTCCAGCTCTTTGAATTAAGCTGTTTTGAGATGAAAATTCCATCTTTAATGACGACATTGACGACTCTCCTTTTACAATGTTCTTTGTAAGGCAGAAATCGATAATGCATTCAACATTAGCTGTAAATAAAGGAAATTGGTTAACCATAGTTATACTTTAAAAATAACGGTCAGAAAATATTTGAAAAATATGTTGAATCTTACTTTTTACGTGCGTAACATTAGCTTAATTTTATTAATAAAAGAACTTACGAATAGTGACAGAACTTTCCGAGATGTTTGTGCTGAGAATGACTTTAGGCAAGGCAGTACGCATAAATGCTTCCTTTTGCAGATCTGTTGGCAATGATGAATGCATTATAATCAGCATATACTTGTCTTTTATGGATTCATAGTTTCCCAGAATAGAATGCGTTGATTCAATTTCATAAATGCCTGGTAAGAAGACTAAGATTGATTTTGTGCTTTTTAGAATATGTTCCTCGATTATTTGTGCTGCCAAATGATACAGTTCCGTTGTTATTGACGGAGTCGAGTAATTGATGATTTTATTGGACATTTCTAACTCTTCAATATCGTCCAAATATCCAATTTCGATGTTAAACTTTCGTTCAGACTGAATGTTGACGATGGCAGGCTTAATCGGATGACCATTAACGACTAAAGTAAAGTAATCCTCAAATTTATTAATATTCAATGTCGCAGACATAAGAATCAATTTTGCATCTGAACCCATTAATAGTTTATCACGTATTATCATCATTAATAAATCAGTTTCAGTATCACGTTCATGAATTTCGTCCAAAATAATATGACTAAATTGGTCAATTCCTTTTTCATACAATATTTTTTCCAAAAGAATGCCAGTTGTGCAGAACAGCAATTTTGTCTGATGATTTTCAGTGTCACATTTCTTATTTAAACCAATTTGAAATCCAATTGTGGTGCCTAATTCACAATTTCGTTCTGTTGATACTCTTTTTGCTAATGTTATTGCTGCAATTTTTCGCGGTTCTGTACAAATTATTTTACAATTTTCTTTTTCATCATCCAGAATGAACTGAGGGATTTTTGTGCTCTTTAAATGATACTTATTAGCATATTGAACTAGTTAAATGTAATATTATCGTAAATTACCTTTCCACAACCAGTTTCACCTCCATAAATGATTGTTATTGGATTATTTCCTACTTTGTCAATGATTTTCTCTTGATACTTCATAATAGGAAGCTCGTTTGCTTCCTTATCTTCACTCATTTTAACTTAATACCTTATTTAATAGCGTTTAAACCATTAATTTAATTAATTTTTGGTAAAAGTATACTTTAGGGTGGGTTTTGTTATTATTTTGTTTGCGCTAATTCTAACCTTTGATCAATCTCAAATTAAACTTCCGAAAACTGTAATTCAAGTTGAAGTTTCCGAAAATTTCCACGATGTTTTATCACGTAAGTTAATTACTTTATATTGTCTAGTAATCATTTTAATAAAATAATCGATTTAAAGATGTCATTAGCTCATCAAGTTTTGATTCATCCTTGCTATTTTGGACCAGATTTAAAGGAAGTTATTCAAAAGAAGGTATATTCGGAAGTAGAAGGAAGTTGTCAAGGATATATTGGATACATCATTTGTATAACTGCTATAACACACATTTCTTCTGGATTGATTATGGCTGGAGGAGAAGGTATGTGCATAAAAAAGAAATGTCAACATCCAGTAAATAACTCGAAACTTACAGGAATGACATCGTTTCCTGTAAAATACAATGCGATCGTTTTTCGTCCATTTAAGAACGAAGTATTTGAAGGAATTGTAAAGCAAGTCACTAAAGTTGGAATTTTTTTGGATATTGGACCTTTAACATGCTTCGTATCGCATAATTCACTTCCCGATCGTATGGAGTTTTGTCCAAAGCATGATCCTGTATGCTACAAGTCAAAGGAAGAAAATTGTGAAATACTTGCAGTGGATATTGATGTCCGAGTTAAAATTGTTGGATTAAGAACTGACATCAATGGAATGTTTGCCATTGGAACTTTACTGGATGACTTTCTAGGAGCTGGAAATTAATCAAGACATACAAGGTAGTTTTGTTTAATAATTTATTAATACACTTCATAACTTCAAAGAAAAAAATAATTCTCTCGACCTGCGCTTTATGGATTTAATTTAACTATTTTTTAAGTACATACACAGAAAGAAGCATAATAATTTTATATAAATATAGATTTAAATTAATTTGCACATAAACTGTATTTAAAAAATCCTTAAATTGCACTATATACGTATTTTTAAAGATCCCACGAAAATAAATGGTGCTTAACCAACATTTCTGCAACGCCTTGCTTTAGAGGTTCATTCTTGACGCTCTTTATAGTAGGCAACTCATAATCTGGATTTAAATTGAATGAAAATTGAGATAGTATCCTTAATTCACATTTGATTTGAACGTATGCTGGTGAGTTTATAAATGAATGTTGATGATACCACTTTCCTACAACTTCATGGCAAGAGCACAGCACATCAAACCACAAATGTAGCACTTGTTCATTTAATCCAAGGCATATCAATGATCTCAACTTTACCTGTAAATTAGAATAATTAAATAAGACAGTAACAGAATTAATTCGATGAGAAACTTACATCCATTTGAACATCAATGTGTGTTTGGTTGATTGTTTGTACGCATCGATAAAGCAGTTCCTCAGGCGTTAAAACTTTTATGTCTTCATCGAGTCTATAAGTTTTGCATAAAACAAGACGGCTATAGACACTTCCGAAATCCTTTTCAACTTCTCGATTTGCTGCTTCCTCAATAAACAGCCATGGATGAACCATTCCCAAAAATGTTGGTTTCTTCATTCCATGTTCGAGAACTTGCTTTATTGAAGCACATAATTGTCCCCTTACTAAGTCAGTTACACTTTCACATAAAGAATCATCACCAGCTACGACATAAATTTTACTTCTTTCATCTAGCAGTTCCACAAATCGTGCTGGAAACCAGCCAACAAGGCCATTCAATTCACCAACCCAGCAATCTTCATCTTTTTGTGAGATTATAGTAATTATGTCATTCTTTCTAAAGCCCAACTCATCAGGATCATGTCTTTCAAAGTCATGTAATGCTTTAGCACGTCTCGATCGTTTTCGTGAAACATTAATGTAGTTCTCATGATCCTTTATGTGAGAATCAGCTGAAAAGTCAGCCTGTAATTTTATATGGCCTGAAAGTTTTGGTTCAATAGAAATGAAATGTCTAGCTATTTTTAAAATTGCATCATGAAGTTCGACAATAATTTCAGAATTTTTAATATTCTTCGTCTTCATATCGTCATCATCATCATCGTTTCCAAACAGAAGCATTTGTATTACAGACTTGTTCTTTTTAACTTCCCGTCTATTTAGGTGCTGCTTCGGTAAATTTGGTATTGGATTTGATTCTAAATTTCCAACCAATGCACCTTGATCAATCATTAAATATGCCAAGTGCCTTCGACGATGTGTATCAATTACTGCCTGATTTAATGATCCACCGACATCCAGAGAGACTTTAAACAACTCACAGACATCATCAATCTCACCGGGAATGTCTGAAAGTGCATTGAAAATTTGAGCTGAATTTTCCTGATTTACAAGCACAGACTCCTTAATTTTCATCATTCCCAGAGTTATTTGGAACAGAATTAATGATCCGTCACAGAAAAACCAGTCAAATATTCTCAGTAAAATCTTCATATGAACAACATTCCCAAAAAGTGTCAGGAACCATTGGTAACTAATTAGTGAGACTTCTATATCATGTTGCTTCAACTTTTCATCAATTGCAGGCAAGTAGTTGGTTATAAGTGTTTGTAATACTCTCTGATCCGCTTGTATTCCCAAAAGATTAGATGAATAATAAGAGGCGGGTAATAAATCCTCGACAATTGTAGCCATTAGCCAAAAGCAATCTTCTTCTTCTAGGAACAATAAAAGGCTTGCCACAATCACGCCTAAAAATATTGCAATATGGTTAAAAATCGTATGCATATCTATGCTGGTCATTCACATTCAATATCCAAAAGGAATAAGCTAGCTAGCGAGCTTAAGTCAACTAAGCATCAACACCTCCTCTTTGGACATTACAAGTAATGAAATGAACCACCAATTAAATTAAAACTCACCAGTTCCTTGACAGTATCCAATGTCAGGAAACATCCATGCGATCGCCCTTAATATTCTTCGAAGTCTCGGTATTGCAATACTATTAGAGGAACAGAAGCAAAGATTTGATGGCAGTATTCGGGTCAGGTCTTTTTCAATTTGTTTCGATGTTACGAGATGATCAATGTTTGATGCCTTAACTATTTCGGTGTATGTACTCTGAGATTTGTTTCTTTTGTCATAAGCACCAGATAAATTCATCCAGATTGTAGGACGCAAAGAATGTGGAATGCCTTCAAAAACTACCATATTTCTAAGCTTTTCTGATTTTGGAATTGATTTAGATTCGAAATTCAGGTCTCCATTTGAGTTGGTAGAAAATTCTAAGTGAGCAATCCATTTCAGACGATCTGATTCTTCCTCAACAAATGGAATGCCAAGTAATTTTGATGAATCTGGTTCTGCTTTGTCCTCATTTTCAATTTTAAATCCAAATTCATCATACGTAATTTCCTCATCATTCTCTAATACTTCAGTGGGTATCATTGATGATGGAATAATGCCCGAAAAAGCACATCCAGGATTAATTTTTACATCACCATAATCTTCGACTGAATCACCTATTGACTCCAATTTTTTCTAAAAAAATATTCATACATAATTTTTGTGATAAGAGGTAATGCGTAGGAAATGAAACATATTTTTAGCAAGTTTCAGTCTACTTACATTATGTTGTGTACGGTTAGCATATCCAGCGTGATCTCTAGACACAAATAATGATTTAGCTACGTCCATATTTGAACTGATTTCGTGTGAAAATTTAGAGAGAAAAATTGATTTTAACTTCTCAGTCCATTGTAGACGATGAAATGAACATGAAGGAGGCATAACTAAGAAATATTAAAGAATTGTTGATGTGTAAAATGTAGCGAGTAAATTTTCGAGATTTTCACTCGAGTTGCGACAAAAAGTTTTCAACAAAAACATTTTTTCTTTAATTTTTACTAAATTTATACAAAATTAAATTCAATAATTTTAGTTTAATTTTGAATTAGGAACGTCTTTGAACACTTTAGTTTAGACAGTATTCATAAATGGAATGGAATGGAACGAGAAATTAAAGAAATAAAAATTTGTAAGTGTCTAGTGATTTTTTTCTCACTCTCTTCTGTGGCTTATTTGACAATGAAAAAAAGCCTACGAGTTCCAATTTACCAAACATTAAATAAGGCAATAATTACTATTAGACTTTTGATTTAAAAGAGAGACATTGCCTTATAAGATTTATGTCAATACTTAAAGCTTTATATATTTAATTTTTTTTTTTTGATGTGATGTATATGGAAGAAAAAGAAAGACATTTTTCTTTTCTCTTTCTTCTATCGACTTTGCCTGATTTGAGTACGATATATCACCATAAAATTGATCAATCAATTTCTAGAGCATGATTCATGTTGAGCTTATTTACAGGCTATGGAACAAAGGTTTAATAGTGATAATGATTATCAAAATTTGAGAAATGATCTGACCAACGAAAAAATTAGTCAATTGGAATCAAAAATCGAAGAACAAAAGCAATTGAGACTTCAAGATGCAAAGCAAGTGGAATTAAAGGCAGCAAGAATTAAGGAATGGGTACAAAATAAGTTACGTGATCTAGAGTTTCAAAATCAGCAATTAAGAGAACAAAATGTCAAATGTAATCAACAATTAGATGTTTTAAAGTGAGTTCTAGTCATGCATTAAATTATTTTTATCATTGTAATGGAATTGCTATATATTTGCAGGAAACATATTGCTACTCAAAATAGCCGCTATAATACACACAGTCCTCATCAATCAGTTCGTTCAAGTCTTAGTTTATCATCAGATTATAGAAATCGCGGAGAGCATCGTCGCAGTGAATCATTAGATACAAAGTTTAAGACTAATAATCAATTTATAGTATCTAGTCATTCGCATCATTCGCATCATCATCATTTTATTCGACGATCACAAAATTATTCAATGGATCCACAAGACATTATCGACAACTTTACTGTTGAAGGATTAAATCTCATAACATCCAGTAAGAATGGACACAATTCAATGACGCATGATTATGCTGAAATTTATACGCCGTCTGTCGAAAAGAAGCCATTAGATTCTTGGACAAAAACTTTGGCTAGTAGCTCATCACCTACCTCAAGTTCTGCAGATTATGTCACAGCAAAGCCTCCAACTCCTCCATTACATCGATTCCCATCATGGGAAGCTAAAATTTATGAGGTCGCAAATGATGGTCTTGCTGGTGAAGATAGTGATCAGGATGTGTCTAGTACGAATGTTGACTCTTTACCACGAATGCAAGCTACACTTAGTGGATATGTTGATATAAATATTCCAGTTTATGCAACCGTGAAAGGAAGAGCATCACAAATTCGTTCAGTTCCATTTTCTGGTGAGTCAAGTGACGACTCTAGTGATGCTGAAGAAAATATGGCCTCAATTCCATGTACTCAATTTAACAACTCTCATCATTCTACATGCACTGATAATACGGAAACAAGTATGAGTGGCTCAAGTCCATCAAAGAGCTTAAAAACCTCATCGAGCCTATCGCCTGCAAAACATCAAAGTGCTGAATCCGATAGTCCACAAATCAAGAATAAAGAAGTGCTTTTTGAAAATGAAACAATGGATTATGCTATTCCACCAGATGCCATTTCTAATAATGATGCTTTATCCATGCATGCTTCATTGCCGTCAATCATGAGAGCATCATACATTGATTCGCCGAATAAGAAAACAGAAACGCTTGAAAAAACTGGTCATTTAGTTAAGCTTGGTGGAAAATTGAAAACATGGCGAAAGCGATGGTTTGTTTTAAAGAATGGTACATTAATGTATTGGAAGAGTCAGCATGATATTAATAAAAAAGCTCAAGGCGAAATTGCTCTCGATGATGCATGTCGAATAACACATACAGAAGGAGCTTCCACTTTCGAAATTGATACCGGAAAGAAGGTTTATTATCTGACAGCCGATTCAAATGCATTAATGGATGATTGGGTGAGAGTCTTACAGAATGTTCAAAAGAGAAATGCAGCGAAATTGTTATTAAGTAAAGAGGATCAAAAGGCAACAGTCGAAGGATGGTTGACTAAAGTCAAGAACGGTCATGCAAAGCGATGTTGGTGTATATTATTAGGAAAAATGTTTTTATACTTTAAAACGCCACATGATGTAAATCAACTTGGTCAAATTAATATGCGCGATACTCGAGTCGAAGAAATGTCCAATTCAGACTCTGATTCCGAAGAAAGTGATGAGCAATCACAAAATACAATTGCAATTCATCCACAACAAGGTGGACCAACGTATTTGATTTTAACGGATAAGCAGGAACGTGATAATTGGCTCTATCATTTGACAATTGTTTCTGGTGGTGGCTTAAATTCTGGCACTCAATTCGAACAAATAGTTCAAAAATTAATGGAGGCTGACGGTGACTCAAATAGTGTTTTGTGGAAACATCCAATCATACTATACTCGAAAGACTATTTAACGACCCCATTGACATCTCTCAATTCAGAGGAATTACAGAATGAAGCATTGAAGCTTTTTAAGGTATTTATAAATATAGCAAAATATTATTCGATTATGCAGAATTATTGATTTGCTATTCAAAAATTATAACAATAAATTCGATTGTATTGCAGAGTTGTCAGCTATTTTTGTCGGTAGCTATCAATCAAGGCGCCGGTATTGATTATCATGTTGTGTTGGCACAAAACGCTCTGCAACATGCTTTGGATATTCCAGAACTACAAAACGAAATGATTTGCTGCTTGATAAAACAAACAAGTCGCCATACTGGACAAAAATTGAGCACAAGCGCTGGTGTTCAGGTAAACACAAAGAAATTGGGCAAACAAACCCGAGTAAGTTCCATGCATTGCTTTTTATTTGTCTTTTTCACTCATAAATGTGTTAATATATATTTTTTAAAATTCTCAAAAACACAAAAACATCAATCATACCAAAACTTTTATGCACCAAGTTACAACTCATTGGCATCATTAGTTCCAAATTCTTCTTAATTTAGGGTTTGTTCATACATGACGATTTTTTCCAATGGTCATTAAAATTTCAAATTTTATGCAAAAACACTAACACTATGACAATTTTTTGGGGCTATTGAACGTCATTTACGAACAACCCTATGAAATTTTATAAAAATTTCCTTTTATTCAATAACATCATTTAAATATAAAATATATGGAAAAAACTCATTTGATAAAGATAGCGATGATAATTAAGGAAGTGGGTAAAAACGATGAACTCTCATAATGCTTTTTATCAATTCGCTGGAAAACATTTTTGCTTTTTCTGCAAATATCCTTTTTTGACTATCGCATGAGAGGGAAAAGGAAAACGCTTAGACATTAAGGAATGTCACTTAAGTTTATTTGCTCATATGCATGATATCTGTTTGCTTTTATTACTAAAACCAACAAAAACTTTTATATTTCCTTATTACAAATAAACAAACAAGCTACAAAGTACATAAAATCGGATGAGTTACCATATTCTGTATCTGGTTTCATGCTTTGAACTCTAAATTGCACAGTGAATAAACGAGTACACACATTTCTTTCTATAAAGACAATAACAACATTAAAACATATCACAATCAATCATCTAAATTAATTTAATTGACATACATACACTCTCTTATTGACTCTATAACTTTATAAGGAATGCTCAATTCTAGCCCATTCTACTCATTTTCAAGTTATGATTTACTTCATTTCTTTCTTACTATATGTATATCTAACATACCTAAAAATACTTATAAATGTCCATCAATGTGAATAGCTTAGAATCTGATTATTAATACATTAGCATAGAAATAGCTTCAAAAAATTGATTAATTAAATTGCATAAAATAACTTTTTGGCAAGTCCGATACTTAAAAGGTTTTCGTTTTTTTTTTGTTTGTGATGATATTAATTCCTATATAGCAATTACTGCTATGTGCAACTCAGAGTTTATTTACTTGTGATACTCAACAACAAAATGACTCAAATTCTGTTGGAAATGGTAGCTCGCCGACATCCAATCAAAAGGTACTTCTAAACTTTTTCTCAATGAATTGAATTTCTAATTCTGATGATGCATTACGAACAATTTTGATGAATGTTGACTAATCTTGTGTTTACCTTGCTTTTTTGTTGCAACTATTTTTTATTCATCCGTTCCATTTCTATTGACACTAATATTCTATTATATTCGATCACTAGATCCCACACATTCCGGCCATCGATTGTAAATCGAATCCACCAAATTATACATTTATTCAAGGATGGCAATTATTGTCATTGGCTGTATCGCTATTTGTACCGAAAAATAGTCGCTTATTGTGGTTTCTAAAACTACACTTGAAACGTTCCAGTGATACGAAAACAGATACCGGAAAGTATGCGTCTTATTGCGAGCGAGCACTTGAAAGGACTATAAAGAATGGAGGACGTGAAGCAAAACCGTCGCGAATGGAAGTCTTGTCAATATTATTAAAGAATCCATATCATCATTCATTGCCACATTCAATTCCTGTTCATATGATGAATGGAGCTTATCAAGTGATCTCTTTTGATGGATCGACTACAATTGAAGAGTTCCAAACGACACTTGTACAAGAAATTGGATGTCGAGATTCAACCAATGGATTTACATTATTCAGTGATGATCCTATTGAGAAAGATCTCGAGCATTATCTCGATCCACAAGCCAAGTTATGTGATGTAATTTCAAAATGGGAAACGGCATTGCGAGAAAAGGGATCTGGAAAGTTTGAAAATTCGAAAGTCATTCAATTGACCTATAAAAGTCGATTATATTGGAAGCATACCGTAAAATTAGAAACTGATAAGGAACGCTTATTGTTGTGCTATCAGATCAATCAGCAAATTGTTCAAGGTCGATTTCCATTATCGAGAGATTTAGCACTGGAATTGGCATCTTTAATGGCCCAAATAGATATGGGTGATATTGGTGAAAAAACAAAAGGAACGACACGAATAAGAAGTGGAATTGACAAATTTTATCCATATAGATATCGAGACGTTTTAACAGCTGAAGGCTTAATTGAATTACAGGAAGTTTTGGCATCAAAATGGGCACTGCTTAAAGGACGATCCGTTATTGATTGTGTTCGAATTTATCTTACATGTGCTAGAAAATGGAGTTTTTTTGGAGCGTCATTGTTTCAAGCAAAACCTCGTCACATGGATCAAGCTATGATTTGGCTTGCTGTTTCTGAGGACGCATTACACATTTTAGATTTATCATCAATGTTACCACTAGCTCGCTATTCATATAGTATGGTTTTGACTTTTGGTGGACTGCAAGATGATTTTATGCTAGTTGTCGGTCCAGAAGACACTTTGAATACAAACTTAGAACAAAAACTTTTATTTGCAATGAGCAAACCAAAAATCTTAGAAATTACTTTATTGATTGCTGACTATATGAATGTTCTTGGACACGCTTTACCAGGAACTCCACAGATGAATACCTTAACTAGAAATGGCAGTTATAGAAGTGCAAAGTAAGTTCTCACTTTATCTCCTTTTCAAAAAATAACGGTCAAAAATTTGAATTTCATGCTAATGATTACTCTTATTTTAGGTCAAAACTGGCATCGTCGACGACTGGAACGACAGCTCACAATACTTTGAATTCGCATGCATCGCATACATTAAACTCCTGCACTAATACTATGTACTCGACAGCGCTTGGATCTGATTTTAAGAATTCTCTCGATCGTTCAAAATGATATTAATTTAGTGATATATATTGACATGAATGTCCAACTATTCGCTTCATAGTAATACCTATATATCCTACAAACAAGTAATACGTCATTGTAATATGACGGAATTTATGAACTCATGAAAAAACCAAAATTATAGAATTTAAGATGAATATGCTGAATATAGAATTTGCTTTTAAATGCTTTTTGAAATATTTTAAAATATGTTGTATAATCGATAGAGATGAATGGACAAGTATTAGGGATCTTTTTCGACAAAGTATTCTTTTTTTTGTGAAAAAAGGTATACACACGACATCCATAGACTTTGTGAATTTTTTTGACAATGAAGGAAGGTCCATTTGACAATTAATTAATTTAGATGAATAATGCATTTTTGAGTAACGTAAAAAGTGTAGATAGAAACTTTGTAAAATGATTTCTTTTCTTCTTTAATTTAACAGTATTGACTCTCTTTACCTTTTTGTTCTTGATGCATTTCAGTTTGATAGGATTTTTTTTTTTGATATTAATTAACTTTTTTTGTGACTGCATTTTTCTTATTAGATTTCCTGACATAGAATGATTTAACAGAAATGGAAACTTATTGATCATGACAAACGAATGTAATCTCAACATATGATAATTTTTTTCTTCTATTTAATCTTTATTAATCTGCTGTATCTATCAGGGCCTCGTCACAAACAAATTGTACGTGAGTAACGCTATGTTTTTCTTGATTATCTCCTCATCATTAAAAGTGACAAATTTAAGAGTTACTTTTTTAAAAAGAGAATTAAAATCTCCATCTATTGTTGTACCATTCACTTCTTGAAGGTAACAGTTACTTAAAAAATCACTTTAACTAGGCTTTACTCATGTACATTTTTTGGGAATTTTGCTACGTCTCATTGCTGTTTATTGAATTTGAAATCACCAAATGTATATTTTGAGGTCAGAAATTTAATTCTGTTCTTTTTGAGTTGATAAAAAATTTAAAATTGTTGCGTTAACATACTTAATTGGACAAAAATGCTATCGGTTTAAAAATTTTTGAATTTTTTTGGTTGTCATTTGTTTGTTTACAAACACAATTCAAAGTGAAATTTAAAAGTCCCGTAAATATCACTTAGTAATGATTTAGAAGCTCTTAAAATAGTCAGAACAGCTAATGTTTCATCTTTATTTCGTATTCCATTCTTAATATTTGGGATTAAATTTGAATAATTAAGAATTTTGAGAATTTAATTTTTGATGTTTTTTTAAGGTGGTGTTAGTGAAAAATCCTTAAAAAACGTCGAGGCCCATCACTTCAATTATTTTTCACGATATTTTGACCTATAAAGTGAATTCAAGATGTGAAAAAGAATTGAATTAAATAGATTTTATATATAACAATGATTAGAATTGTCAAATAAAATAAAATTCATTAAATATGCTCGCGTTTATGAATATAGTTTTTCAGGAACAACATCATCTACTGAAATTTTTAACGGTAATTTGATATTCAGATTTTATGAAAAATTATAACCAGTTGATTTTCTCTTTGATAGTTGATACTCCCCTAATCTATATTGAGACCAATTTAAGCATAATTTTTTTAAACAAGATTAATTTTAATCTCTGATCAAAACTCAGTATTGGTTTTATAAGAAAACAAAAAATTATAGAAAACGTATTTTTAAAATTCAAATAATTGAGTACGAAGAATTGGGTACGAATCTTTTCAAAACAATGATCAGTATTGGGGAGGGCTCGTTCACTTATTACGTAACGCAAAAAACGAGTTTTTAGACCCCCCTCCCCCCCCTGTAACAAAGCGTAACAAAATCTTAGACCCCCCCCTCCCCCCCCCCCATAACGTAACAATAATTTTTTTCATTTAAATTGTTTATCAAATGTTTATTATACTTCCTTTAAGTATGTAAAAGTAAATAGAAGGAAAGCAATTATAACTAAAAAGTTCTTAAGTTAAAATTTAACGTTAAAAAAATTTAAAATTAATATAGAAAAAATTATAAAAAATATAATTTTTGAAAGGTTACGTAACAAAATTTAGACCCCCCCCTCCCCCTGTAACAAACCGTAACAAAATCTTAGACCCCCCCTCCCCCCCTAGTGCGTTACGTAATAAGTGAACGAACCCGGAGAGAATAAGCTTAAAGTAAAAATTTCTCTTGAACGGTGTACATCGGCTTTATAAAAAATAATGAATTAGCATTAAATATTTGATTAATCACAATTAATTATCAAACACGCGTTTGTCAATACGGGAAACTCAAAGAATTTATTAAGGAAAAGTGAGTAAAAACTAAGGTTTTATGGATCTTAAAATTACGAAAAATCATGATGAAAACTTGTGCTACTAATTTTTTATGGACTGATAACAATTTACTGATGTTTATCGTCTCTGAGATTATCTTGTTAGCTAAAGCCTATTATTCTTTGTAATAAAGTGTCAAGTGCCAGATTTAATTTGATGAAAAAGTATTTTATTTCTGAAGTTTATTTCAGACAGAGTTAGTCCTTATGTAAATAATTAATTCCGTCTCTTTAAATATCATAAAATGACGAAATTTTACAAAAACCAGTATTGAAGTTGACTTTTTTTATGAACATGAAGATTTGCACATAATTCTTATCATCTATTGCTCAAAGAAATAGCTAGTCAATTAATAAAAAATAATTTTTGACACTTGTATCAGTTTAGAGCCATGACAAGCATTTTTTTAATTAAAGCTAATTTAACATAATTTTTTATTTCACAGATTTAAACTATCAGAATCAACAAAATGAATGTGACAAGCTTTTGTCCTAAGAATATTAGTTTCTACGATATATGGGTTGATCATTCAGTAAATCACTGTTTCTTCGATACCTTTACAAGTTCGTTGGTTGCTGCATACATCTTACTGCTTGGATTTGCTCAAATAATCATTTATCGCAAATATGCTACACAAATTGACAGTCGTCGACTTAGAGTCTCCTTCTTCTTTGTCATTCAAATAATGTTGATGGTAATTATGCCTATTATGGCTATTGTCCGATTGATTCTGAGATGGAAAGTCTACGAATCACATGAGGTTTATGGATTTATGGTAAGTTTAATGTGATTAGTAAAGTGTATGCAACATCAAATTTAATGATGTGCTTATCTTTTGACTTTTAGATTCTGTACACTGCGTTAACAATCTATGCGTATACTTTCGGAATTTGTCTAATTATGAAAGAACGACATTATCAACTTCCTTCAACTCCAACACGAGCCCACAGCATGATCCTCTTAATATTCTTTACATTGCTTTTTGTTTGCGAAAATGCCGCACTTATCAACCTTGACTCTGACAGTTGGTGGTTTGCACTTAAAAACAAAACTGATAGATATGAATTAGGATTTTTTGTGACACGTTATGTCAGTACTCTACTTCTTTTCGTTTTGGGAATTAGCGCACCTGGAATTAGACAGTCTGATGACGATGAAGCTCCACTCTTTGAAGAACTTACTCAGCAAAATGATGTAAAACATGCTCTTTATTAATTTATTGTACATTGATTAATTTAATGAATTTATTAATAGGAAAATGCGTCAACATTCAGGAATGCATACAAGAAAATGAGTAAATTAATGCCATTTTTGTGGCCTAGAAAGGATTTCTTGCTTCAGTCGCGCGTCATCATCTGTTTTGTTCTTTTGATTGCCGGTCGTGTCATCAACTTATATGTTCCTATATACAACAAGAGGATTGTGGATGCTCTGTCATCTCCAACTCCTATATTCGCCTGGCAATTAATCTCAGTTTATGTTGGAATGAAATTCTTACAAGGTGGCGGAACTGGAAGTATGGGAGTGCTTAATAATTTGAGAAGTTTTTTGTGGATTAAAATTCAACAATTTACAACAAAGAGTGTTCAGGTAGAATTGTTTAGACATCTTCATTCGTTATCTTTGAGATGGCATCTTGGACGTAAAACTGGTGAAGTTTTAAGAGTTATGGACAGAGGAACTGACAGTATCAACAATTTGCTCAATTATATTCTTTTCTCTATTGCTCCAACAATTGTCGATATTCTGGTTGCTGTAATTTTCTTCATGACGGCTTTTAATTGGATGTTTGGTGCTATCGTATTAGTCACAATGGTTCTTTATATCGCAATGACAATTGCAATCACTGAATGGCGAACAAAGTTCCAAAGACGTATGAATCTCGCAGACAATGCTACACGTGCAAGATCAGTTGACTCATTATTGAATTTTGAGACTGTTAAATATTATGGACAAGAAAAGTATGAGATTCAGTGCTATGAAGATGCAATTCTAGACTATCAGAAGGAAGAATTTCAGTCAATGTTTACACTTAATTTATTAAATACAGCACAAAATATCGTTGTTTGTATTGGATTACTTCTCGGATCTTTACTTTGTGCATATTTTGTTGTTCATGAAGACGACCACAAAAGACTGACTGTCGGTGACTACGTTCTATTTGCGACTTATATCATTCAGCTTTATGTTCCATTAAATTGGTTTGGAACCTTCTATAGGTAAGTCTAAGAATTATTATGAGATTTCAATTTTAACTGTCATTTCAAATTTGAATTTTATGTTTTTTTTGTTTTTGTAATCGGATTTGATTTTTTTTAAATTACGCATTTTTTTGTTTAACATAAATATAATTTTGTCGACCTTAACACTATACATTTCATCAGTGCTTTGCACATAATTCTAATACCAAAAGTGTAAACAACGAAAATTGTTAAAAATATTAGTTCTGGAAGTCCTGCATGCACTGTAAGTGGTGTCGTGGATATATTTCAACTGAATTGTGAGTGCTAAAGTGGAGGAAAGTAATAATGGGCACAAAAAAGCGCAAAAAATCAATTTCACCGATTCCATCAAAATCTGTTGAAAAAAAAGAAGGTTAAGACCGATGCAGAAATAATTAGTGATGGTTTGCAAGCAACGAAGACGAATCAACCAGATGCGACCCAAGACAAGGATTTATGTCAATGCGAATATTCAGGATACAAAAAAAGTAATTTCATCATTAAAAATGACGACTATAGTGCTGTGCAAGATCAGAGAAACAAATTGCACTCAAATATCATGCTTCAACATCAAGGATAAGAAGATCCTGATCGAGAAACTAACATCAGAGCAGATTGAATATCACACTTTTACAGAAAAGTGTGAAAAATCAAACAAATTCATTTTAAAAGGTTTTTATGATGCCTCAAATGAAGAATTATTTCAAATGCTCAAGAAGGAAGATATTCCAGCTCTCAAAGTAACTGAATTTATTCGTAAGAATGAATTCAGTTGGTTCATGGTGCATTTCGACAACACAATCACATTGGATTCTCTGAATCGCTTGCATCGCAGCGTCGATGGAATAATGATCAGATGGGAAAACTTAAAGAAATCAAGTAAGGAAGCAACACCGACGGGAAGATAACACAATTGTATTATTGTTGTGCACAACGGGAAAAAAATTTATGATTTCCCACCGTAGTGGGAAAATTTCCCATCATGACGGGAAATTTCACATCATGGTGGGAAATCGACGGGAAATCGATAAGAAATTTCCCATCGCAGTGGGAAATTGATGGGAAATTTCCCAATGTGACACCAATTCGGGGCAAATTTAAAAAAATTGGAAATTGTTTTTGGGATGGTTTGAATTACACTCTCGGTGCATTTTTTTGTTTTGAAGAGGACATTAAAATTGATGTAATAACCAAATTTCAGGTAATAAGATGTTGTTTCGGTAATTCTAGGGCTGTTTGAAGTTAAAAATAATTAAACAAGGATTAAAGTTATTGAAAAACGCTTTCCTAATAGTATGATATAAAAGCTTTATTTTGTTGCACATTTAAATTTATAAATTTGTAGTTTTGGTACTTTACTTAGGAAAATAGCTTCAAGCGTGCTGCAAATATTTTAGATGGAGATTTTTCGGGTAGTAAAACCATATCTCCTTTCCTTTTGAGTTTTAAAAGTCTTAGTTATGCAAAATTTTGTTTCTAAGTTGTATTTCTAGAAATGTCGTTTTTGAGATTATTGGAGATTATTTTCTAATTTGGGGTCATTCATAAACAAAGCCTATATTCATGACCAATATCAAAAGTAACCATCAAGTATTTTACATCATTAGAATGGTATTAACCTGTTCCGAACAATTCAATGGTTTCGACCGTTACAGTTTCGAAGAAAACTTGTGAAAATGTCTTATGTGTCTGTCTGCCACGCAAAATTCAAAGTTTCATACCCCGCAGTTCAAAATTTTCGAAAATAAGGAAAAAAACAAAAATAAAATTAAGCAAGTTTTATATGAAATTTTGATGAAAATATAATGTTGTCATTTAATAATATGCATAATATAGCTAAATCGTTTTAAAACCATCAAAAACTCTACTAAAATGACAAAAAAATGAAACGATTTTTTCAAATTTAAATTTTTCGAACGTGCATATTATAACACCCCTAGACTTTCGACAAGTCTGTCGAACATGAACTGTTCCTATCAGGTATTAACTATAAGTTAAGCAATAATAAACTGAAAACGGATTAAAAAGTATTTTGTTTTGTAAGAGTTAGAGCAGTTTGAGAAATATGAAAAGGATACAACTCGTCAGAAATCAAAAAGTACCCTATATCTTGACAAATATTGAACTTTTTTTGGGACCCCAGCACATTTTTGTGTTAGCAATCAGTATTTATAAATTTCATTATGTATTGAATTAAATCTTTTATTTGAATAGGGATTAAAAAGCGTTTTTCAATAACTTTAATCATTGTTGAGAACTTTAAGTTCAAAAAGTACAGGAAAAAATCAGAATTTTCGTCTATTTTTTTATCTTCAAACAGCCCTAGAATTACGGAAATAACTCCAAATGACCTAAAATTAGGACAAGAAGTCAATTTCGATGTCCTCTACAAGAAAAAAAAATGCCCCGAGAGTGTAATTCGAAACATTCAAAAACATTTTGGATTTTCGCTGTCTTCAATATTGCCCTGTAGTGTGGTGGGAAATTTCCCATTGTGATGGGAAATCGACAGGAAATTTCCCATTGCGATGGGAAATCGACGGGAATCGATGGGAAATTCCCATCGTGGTGGGAAATTCCACACCAATTTCACATCGAAATTTTTTCCCTCGAGCAACACAATGCTACAATTGTCAGGCATGGGGACATGCTTCGATCAATTGTGGACTTCAAGCTAAATGTGTCAAGTGCAATGCATCACATCCAAAAGGACAATGTCCTCGTTTAGTTAGAGATGATAAAGTTGTCTGCTGCAATTGTGGAGGGAATCACTCAGCAAATCATCGAGGTTGTCCTGCATATAAAAAGTATGTAGAAACCAAAGTTCCACGTCCAAATAAATCAAAAGATCCAATCAAGATGACAACTGAATTTTCATCGAAACAGTTTCCGAAATTGCCGAATCAAGGAAAAATCACGAACAATAACGTAATCGAGAAAAGTCAAGCTGCATCATACAGTTCAGTCATATCTAGTCATATAACTTATGCAGAAAAGCTTCAAGAAGCAGTCAAGATTGAAGGGCTTTTCAAGAGATTAGCTAACGCTCAAGAAAAGTTGCGAAAAATCCCAAATATAGAAAAGACAATCAACGATTTCTGCAACTTCGTGGACGAACTAGCAGAGCTTCCAAATACCAATGCAGATCGCTTTAAGATACTCATGAAATACAACATTGATGCCTTAGAAAATTCAGAATCTGACGAGGAGTCAGAAATTGAGGAAAATAACGAGGAGATGGAGGAAGCAGAAGTAAATAGGGAAGATTGTGGAGACTTCACAAACTCTGCAATTAGAGACAATGGCGATGGAACATCCACCCAATGGGTGACACATGAAGGACAGAGAATCCCATTGATTAGATTTAAAAATGTAGACAAATCAAAATAATTGTAGTTTTTTTTGGAACAGTGCAGGTCTTGAAATAGCGTTTTGCTGATGGACCATAATAAATATAATAATAATAATAATAATAATTCTAATAAGATTCAAATTGTCATTTGTAGACAAATTCAAAAGAATTTCGTTGACATGGAAAATATGTTGGAACTAATGAAAGAAGATCAAGAAGTAATTGATGCACCTAGCGCTCCTGATTTAGTATGCAGTCGTGGTGGAATTGACTTTTCAAATGTCACTTTTGGCTATTCTAAAGAAAAGATAATTCTCAAAAATGTGTCTTTCAATATCGGACCAGGAAAAATTGTGGCTCTTGTTGGACCATCGGGTAACTTTTCATGACTATATTAAAAGAGTGATTCATATTGTAAATGTCGTAAAAACATTTTCATGCAGTTTCAAGCTTGTCGACTAAATATCTTTTCAATAACTCAAAATTTTGCCAACATGTTATACATCATTGGAAAGGTCTTTATTTGATCTTTAAAAATATGTTAATTAAATTAATTTTGAACCGGTTTTATCGGTTAATTTACCGGTTCAAACTTTGTGAGAAAATTAAAAAAAGTAAATTGGAATAACTTTTACAGTTTTCAACCATTTTCAATGATTCTTTTTTTGGCTGAAAGCCTATATATTTGCAGTTAGCTTTAACATTAATTAAATTTTTTCCAATGTATGGAACATAATTTTTTGAGGCCCCCAAGTTTTTGACAAAAGTAGCTCTTATTTGATCATTTGGCTACATTTGGTCAAAATTTATGGATGAACCCCATATTATTGTATGTTGTTACAAAGGGAATAAAAATACAAGTAATATGCAAAAAGTTTGAAATCAATATCTATTATCGTTTTCAAATGAGAGCTGTTTTAGTAAATTTTGGTCAAAATTTATGGATGAACCCCATATTATTGTATGTTGTTGGAAAGGTAATAAAAAAACAATTAATATGCAAAAAGTTTAAAATCAATATCTATTACCGTTTTCAAATGAGAGCTGTTTTAGTAAATTTTGGTCAAAATTTATGGATGAACCCCATATTATTGTATGTTGTTACAAAGGGAATAAAAATACAAGTAATATGCAAAAAGTTTGAAATCAATATCTATTATCGTTTTCAAATGTATTTTATTCCCTTTGTAACAACATACAATAATATGGGGTTCATCCATAAATTTTGACCAAAATTTACTAAAACAGCTCTCATTTGAAAACGATAATAGATATTGATTTCAAACTTTTTACATATTACTTGTATTTTTATTCCCTTTGTAACAACATACAATAATATGGGGTTCATCCATAAATTTTGACCAAATGTAGCCAAATGATCAAATAAGAGCTACTTTAGTCAAAAACTTGGGGGCCTCAAAAAATTATGTTCCATACATTGGAAAAAATTTAATTAATGTTAAAGCTAACTGCAAATATATAGGCTTTCAGCCAAAAAAAGAATCATTGAAAATGGTTGAAAACTGTAAAAGTTATTCCAATTTACTTTTTTTAATTTTCTCACAAAGTTTGAACCGGTAAATTAACCGATAAAACCGGTTCAAAATTAATTTAATTAACATATTTTTAAAGATCAAATAAAGACCTTTCCAATGATGTATACCATGTTGGCAAAATTTTGAGTTATTGAAAAGATATTTAGTCGACAAGCTTGAAACTGCATGAAAATGTTTTTACGACATTTACAATATGAATCACTATTAACTAATACTTTAATTGAAAATTTTGATACTATATAGGTGCTGGTAAAAGTACAATAATGAGACTGTTGTTTAGATTTTATGACGTAAATGGTGGATCAATTCTTATTGATGGTCAAAATATTAAGACTGTTACACAGTCAAGCTTACGAAAGTCAATTGGAGTCGTGCCTCAAGACACAGTCTTGTTTAATCAAACTATCAAGTATAACATTAAGTACGGAAGAATCACAGCAGATGAACATGATGTCATTACAGCAGCAAGAAGTGCAGATATTCACGAAAAAATTCTCACATTCCCTCAACAATACGAGACTCAAGTTGGTGAAAGAGGTTTAAGGTTGTCTGGTGGTGAAAAACAGCGAGTTGCTATTGCCAGGTAAACTATCTAATATATAAAAGCCCAACTCACTGATTCACTGACTCTGGATGCTGGGTTATAAGTCCAGAGATTATAAGTCCAGATACAAAAATCGTGCACAGAAAATTATAATTCCAGAAAATCAAAGTGACTAAAGGTTTATAAGTCCAGATACAAATTGCACCTGGACTTAAAAACCTCACGTGCAGTTTATAAGTCCAGGTACAAAAACAGCTGGAATTATAAACTGCACGAGAGGTTTTTAAGTCCAGGTACATTTTATATCTGGACTTATAAACTTTACGTGTGGCTTATAATTCCAGAAAACAAAAACGTGGAAAATTTTTTATTAAATTAATTAAAGTGTCCAAGTCGTTATTAGTTGAAAAAACCTTCTTACTAAGTGCCAAGGGTTGTGTTTTCCTCAAGGACAATGAGGAAAGGCAAAAAGAAAGCAAGATTTGTCGCCAAAAATTGATTTGGACGAAAGTTCAATCAAATCTAATGAAAATTCCAAGAAGAGGAAGCAAACGCCTCAGAAAGAGGAATCATCGGTTCCAGTCACAACAACAACTTCAGTCAAGCCAAGATTTGTGCAATGCAGTCTCAAGGATGTGAGAAAATTAATTTCACTATTGAAATTGCAGGTTATGCCTGCATATAAAATTTCATCATCAAATACAACTCAAGTAATTGTCAAGTCTATTGAGGATAAGGCCTCAATAATAAACCTTCTGCGGTCTCAAACTATTCAATTCCACACCTTCTCCGAGAAATCGGAGAAAACAAAGTCATTCGTTCTGAAAGGATTTTACGAAACACCAACGAATGAAGTACTAAGATTACTTCAAGAAGCCAAGGTTTCAGCTGTCAAAGTGACAATTCTCGTCAAGAAGCCCGAGTTCACCTTTTATCTTGTGCATTTTCAAGATGAAAGTGTGAACATCAACGTGCTCAATCATAACCACCGTAACATCGACAACATCATCGTCAAGTGGGAGAACATCAAGAAGGGCAACAAAAGCCCAACGCAGTGCTTCAACTGCCAACGTTGGGGTCACTCATCTCAAAATTGTGGATATAAATTCCGATGCGTCAAGTGCACGGAAGTTCACGGACCAAATCAATGTCAACGATCCACTCGTGATGGAAATGCCAAGTGCATTAATTGCAATGGCGATCATGCTGCCAGTTATAGACTGTGCCCATCGTTCATTTCGTATTCCAAAAGAATCGAAAAGTCAAGAGCCAAACCACAACTCAAAATGCTGCCACAGATATCAAGTCTTTTGGACAGTAACAATTTTCCATCGTTAAGCAAACGACATCAAGTTTCTGCTCATTCACATCCAGTGAATGCTGCAAGTAACTCATCAGCAACATTTAAAGAAGAGATTAATCAGCAACAACTGATCAATAATATCAGTTATGCAGAGAAACTCAACGAAGCAGTAAAGAATGAAAGCCTTTTCAAGAAATTCACAGAAGCTCAAGAACGTCTAAAGAGAATCCCCAACATTGAAGAAGCAATAAATCAGTTCTGCAGTTTCGTAGACGAAGCCGGAAAGATCCCAAAGGATGCACCTCAATGAACTGCATTTAAACTCATAGTGAAGTATGGCTTCATTGGCTGCCCACCAGCACCGAACAAGCCAGTTCAAAAATAATTTATTAACGTAGTTCATAAGCTTAAAAAAAAGCTTTTTTTTCTCGCTCGGCAACTTTTTTTAAACTTTTTATGCCACATTTTCATGATATATGTAAATCTCATTCATCAAAATTAATAATTAATCAAGATATAGTTGAATTAAAGCCATATTCAGGCTGGTGTCAAAATAAGACTCAAAGAAATGTAACTTAAACTACAATAATTCCAAATTTGAAATAAAGAAAGATTTTGTTTTGTTTTATAATTCCAGAAATTTTTAAATTTTACTAATAATCTCCCAGTGCGATTATAAGTCCAGATACATTTTTCTAGACTTTTAATCTTTGAAAATTATTTGAAACTTGTTCAATTTTTTTTCTTTATTAAGTCTCTGTTATTGAACCTAGTGCCTTAAAGTTGAACATCATAAAAAATCTTTATCACTAAATACTTACTGAATCCTAAATGCAGCAGCTGATGTTTTTAGCACTTTTAGAAGCATTTTGAATTGATTGAATTGAATGATTTAAAAGAAATCAATCAGAAAATCCAAGATGACAGAAGTTTTTTCGACTTCATACATTCTCAATTTTACTCTAGCACCAGTTGGGTTTCGATCAACGCTCCTTTTTATATTTTATATAAAATGTAATGAACATTTCATTTGAACTTTTCTTTATTTTTTGTGAATTTTTGATCCATATAATTTGAGAATTTGATTCGTTAAAAATGTAAGTATGTTCACACCGTATTCACGTGTGAATCTATTGGTTTTGTTCAGATTGAAAAATCAGTTTTTCAAATTTTGTGAGGAAATAGAACAAAATAGCTTAAAATGTTCAGAGATAAAAAGTTCATGCCTGGAATTTCACATCTTTTGCAAAAAACAGATTTCAATTTGGTTGTGGCATTGCTGAGAAAATCGCAAAATACGCTTTCTGTAAACAAGCAAACAACCATGCAAGTTAATCAGCAAGAAATCTCAATAACGAGACATCTTAGAGACTTCTAGTTTTTTGCATTTGAACCGTACTGCTCTATAGAAGAGCTGTATTGTTTTTGGGCAAGGTAGGAACAGCCGTTGCTTCGGAAAAAGCAAAAAACTTCCCTTTCTTACGAATTTTTCAAAACAAAAGTTCACTGTGATTTTTATAAAATTAAACTTTTGATGAAAAAAAAAATTTTAAAAATCTTTCAAAGAATGTTCGTTAAGCTTTTAACCTTCAAACATATGCTTAGCGAAGCTCAGCTGACTCGCTAGATTTCAAGGGGTATAATGAAATACAGCAGCTTAAAAGGATATATAAGGTACTTTAGAGGAAAAAAAATTATCAAATGTGAATTCTTTGTGTGAAGTTTTCAAAAATTCATGTGTAGAATTGCCTTAAAGAAAAAAATTTAAAATAAGTTAAAAAAGTTTCAAATAATTTTCAAAGATTATAAGTCCAGAAAAATGTATCTGGACTTATAATCGCACTGGGAGATTATTAGTAAAATTTAAAAATTTCTGGAATTATAAAACAAAACAAAATCTTTCTTTATTTCAAATTTGGAATTATTGTAGTTTAAGTTACATTTCTTTGAGTCTTATTTTGACACCAGCCTGAATATGGCTTTAATTCAACTATATCTTGATTAATTATTAATTTTGATGAATGAGATTTACATATATCATGAAAATGTGGCATAAAAAGTTTAAAAAAAGTTGCCGAGCGAGAAAAAAAAGCTTTTTTTTAAGCTTATGAACTACGTTAATAAATTATTTTTGAACTGGCTTGTTCGGTGCTGGTGGGCAGCCAATGAAGCCATACTTCACTATGAGTTTAAATGCAGTTCATTGAGGTGCATCCTTTGGGATCTTTCCGGCTTCGTCTACGAAACTGCAGAACTGATTTATTGCTTCTTCAATGTTGGGGATTCTCTTTAGACGTTCTTGAGCTTCTGTGAATTTCTTGAAAAGGCTTTCATTCTTTACTGCTTCGTTGAGTTTCTCTGCATAACTGATATTATTGATCAGTTGTTGCTGATTAATCTCTTCTTTAAATGTTGCTGATGAGTTACTTGCAGCATTCACTGGATGTGAATGAGCAGAAACTTGATGTCGTTTGCTTAACGATGGAAAATTGTTACTGTCCAAAAGACTTGATATCTGTGGCAGCATTTTGAGTTGTGGTTTGGCTCTTGACTTTTCGATTCTTTTGGAATACGAAATGAACGATGGGCACAGTCTATAACTGGCAGCATGATCGCCATTGCAATTAATGCACTTGGCATTTCCATCACGAGTGGATCGTTGACATTGATTTGGTCCGTGAACTTCCGTGCACTTGACGCATCGGAATTTATATCCACAATTTTGAGATGAGTGACCCCAACGTTGGCAGTTGAAGCTTTTTTTTTTTTTTTTTTTTTAATTAAACTTTTTATTTATTTACATTTAAATTTAAGTATGTACAAAGTTTCTATACATTTTGTTGCTTTTTGTTTTAAGGTTTCAGGCATTCAATTTGCCTTTTGTCTCTTAATTTTGATTTCATTTACGGATTTTACTTTCTTTTGTATTTCATTTGATTTATTCGGTGTTTTGAGATGCAAGACGACTGTTGAAGTTCGCTTGCAACTTTCCGACGTAGTCTTCGATGGACGGTATTTTCGCTTCTGTATGAAGATCGGTGATCCTTTCATATCTTGTTTTATTGAGAACAATTCTCAAGAATTTGTTTTGCAGTACTTGAAGTTTTTGAAGATGGGTTTTTGCCATGCTTCCAAACGCTGGACAACCATATGTGAATATTGGTCTGATGGCTAGCTTGTAGATGAGAAGTTTGTTTCGTACGTCGAGTTGTGAGTTCCTGCTGATGAGCGGATAAAGCTGTCTTAATGCGGTGTGAGCTCTATTGGTCACATACTCCAAATGCGGCTTTAATGTCACTCTCTTGTCGATCACCATTCCCAGATATTTAGCTTCTGTTTCCCATTTGATGTTTTCGTTGAGAAATTTGATGTTATTTCCTGGTAGTTGCCTGGAGTGCCTGTTTGTGATGAATAAGGCTTGAGTCTTCTGTTTGTTGAGGTTGATCTTCCATTTGTTCATGTATTGTTGAACTTTTCTTCCTGTGTGCTGTAGATGTGTCACAATATCGGCCGAGTTCTCTGCAGAATGATACAGTGCTGTATCATCTGCGAAAAGACCGATGTTGTTGGTTGTCTCTCTTACAACATCATACGTGAAGATGTTGTAGAGAGTTGGTGAAAGCACTGCTCCTTGTGGCACTCCGAATTTGATTACCTTGATTTCTGAGAACTGACCTTTAATAAAAACTGCGAAAGATCTTTCACTGAGGAAAGATCTTACAGTTTTTATAAGTGG